CTAAGTAAAGTTTGCAATAATAAATTGGTGAATTATATAAGCCTGCAAATTATTTAGAAATAGAGGTAGATAAAAATCTACTAAATAGAATTTATTAATCCAAGAATCACAATTGATAAACTACCACTTTAAAAAATATATTTGCTGTCCAGAGCAAGTAGGCATCTCTGTAAAGTGTTGTTATATGTATTCATTCATGCGTCACATTAACGCGTGTTTGTAGAGACAGGTATATAAGAAACGTTCGTAAACCAAGTGCTAAGATTGTTTGATAAGAACAAATAATTTTCATGGATAAAAATAATTAGATTATCTTAAAAACCTTTTAAAAACTTATAAAAATGAACTTTAGCTGAGGACAAAACGCTAATAGCGTGCGAAACAACATAAAATGATTGACTGTTTAGTTATTTATGAACTAGACTGCGTCTTTTTTTAAGGAATTGTCTTTTGTTTTAACCATTGGCAGAAAAAAGAGTAAATTAATGTGGTCCTATTAATTAAATGCAAATTGGATACCATTAGTTACAGGTACAGATTGGATATCACTAGGTACACATTTAAATAAGTTGAAAAACATGTTTAGTGTTCATGGATAAAAAAATTTTTTTATAATTTTAAACAGCATGGAAAAAACTTGTAAAAATATGCCCGGGCCTCAAACAAAACGATAGACAACGTAAGAAATAATTATAAAGAATAACTGTCTATTTATTAATCAGACCATGCCTTTTGATTTAAGGAACCGTCTTTTGATTTAAGCATTTTTTCCCAATTCACAAAAATTAATTAATGTGCTATTACTTGCGTACAGATTGGATATCACTAGTTATTATTTCATTAAGATAGGGTGATAAAAACAATTAATGATAGTAGATAAAAACAACTAGATAATTTTAAGTAGCATGAAAAGAAACTTTACAACTACGACCTGCATTCGAACAAAATAATAAACAACGTACGAAACAACTTAAAAGGAATGACTGTTTACTAATTTATTAACTAGATCATGTCCTTTTTAAAGAACCGTATTTTAATGTCAGTGTAAATAAAGAGTGAAGTGTGGTCCTATTAATTACGTACAAGTTGAATATCACTCATTATGATTTCATTAAATTAGGTTGCTAAAATAATTAATGTTGATGCAAAGTAATCAGATGATTTTAAATATCATGAAGTAAAAAACTTGTACAAATATACCCTGGTTTCAAACAAAGCGATAAACAGTAAATGATACAATTTAAAAATAATGACAGTTTAATTATATATTGACAAGACCTTATCTTTTAATTTAGGAAACCGTCTTTTGATTTAAGTATTTTGTGCCGTAAGCCAAATAAATGATTAAAGTGTGGTCCTATTAATTACGCACAAATTGGATATCACTCATTATAATTTCATTAAAATAGGTTGCTAAAATAATTAATGTTCATGCAAAGTAATCAGATAATTTTAAATATCACAAAAAAAACTTGTACAAATATAACCTGGTTTCAAACAAAGCGACAAACAGTAAATGAAGCAACTTAAAAATAATGACTGTTTAATTATATATTAACTAGATCTTATCTTTTAATTTAAGGAACCGTCATTTGATTTAAGTATTTTTTGCCATTATCCAAGTAAATGATTAAAGTGTGGTCCTATTAATTGCGTACAAATTGTATATGACTAGTTATGATTTCATTAAGTTAAGTTGATAAAAACGATTAATATTCATGGATAAAAACAATTAGATATATTTAAATAGCAGCAAAAAAATTGTATAAATGTGTCCTGGCTCCGAACAAAATGAAAAACAGCGTATAGAACAACTTAAAAAGAGTAACTGTTTAGTCATTTATAAACTAGACCACGTCTTTTGATTTAAGGAACCAAAGAAAAAAAGTATGCGTTGACGTAGCGACAAAACAGCTCAAGACATAATGATCCCAAGATGCTTTGTCTTGCGCTTGATTTAATGGAGCTTTCAAAACTTGTATCTCCTCTATGCCAAGGTAGATATTTTAAGGGGCTTTTTTTCTTGACATGGTTACGCCTTACGAATATTTTATCTTCCTCTTTTGGCAATGTACCTTGCGAATGACAGAGTACACATAAAAATGCTTCTTAACATATGGTGTTCCTTAGATGCATTGTTAGTAATTTTCTTTTTAATATTTTTTTTTATCCGAAGCTTAGTGAATTGTATAATGTCTTCTTTCATGAATTCTTGTAGAATTTTATCCTTCAAAGTGATTGTTTACTGGAATTTCTTTCCACCAGTAGTTCATTCTATATTGTTCAAATTTTTAGATATTAAATGCATGTTAATTTTAATTATTAGATCATTTGATCGTTAGTAAAAAATAGCATTAAATCATTAATAAATGAACTAAACAAATTTCAAAGGATGCATGATGAAACATATTTTTGTATATTGAATACATGCATATATNCTATAAAATATATTTTTATGTGTCTCTTCCGGATTTTCCGGAAGATTTTATTTTCATATTTAAAGTGGTAGCAATACTCATGTTATTCCAATCAACTTTTTGAATTATGATGATAATTATAAATGAGTTTGACCACCACTACATATAAATAATTACAATAAATATATAAAAGCATAATAATCCCTGCACAAGCGAATTTCAACGGGATCAAGCTGCAAATATATTTTTGAGTCAGATTGTTTTTCGTTAATTGTATTACAACCACTCTGAAAATCCATTCTCGGAAAGAGTGAAAGTTGGCAGGTATGCAT